CTATTCTATTCTATTCTATTCTATTCTATTCTATTCTATTCTATTCTGTAACAAGACTGTTTTCAAAAGTGCTGGAAATGTATTCCCTCTTTTTACCCTCCCAGAACAGTCTGTATTTAAATGATGAAGTAAAGATAATTGAAAGTGACATTGCTCGAGAGAATGGAGTCATACATTTTATTGATGGGATCTTAGCCCCATATGACCTGCAGCATCACAACATGTCATGCAACCTATCCCAGGTATGTCTAACATAAAATATGCTAGAAAAGGTGAAAGAAGCCCTAATGAGTTTGCTAGTCTTGAAGCTACTGTAAAACTAGATGTTATTAAAAATAATCATGGCTTGTAATGATTCTTATTTCTTATACTATACTCAGTTCTGAGTTAGATGTTTTATCCCCTTATTAGGGCACTGTCAGCCCTAGATTCATCATACTTGAATGTAACATATTTTTATTTTGTTTGAGTGTCCATGCCTGGATGCATATACAGTTTGGATTATTTTCAGAGGTGGAATAATCGGTCTCTGGTCTATATTTTGTGTCTTTTCTGTACGAGCTGCATAATTGAAGTAAAACCTATTTGAACTGCAGCGTTGCACACAATTATCTGCCACTTAATTTATTCCAGAATTGCTGTGTCATTAGCCTGAGTTCATGTCATTAGCCTGAGTTCAGGGCTATTGCAAGGCATCTTACCAGGGGTGGGATTCTCCCGGTTTGACCCGGTTCTACAGAACTGGTTGTTACCGTTCCCGGTAGTTCAGAGAACTGGAAAATCGGGCCTCTGGCTGGCCCTGCCCCTCTCCACCCGCTTCTCCACTCGCTTCTACACTGCCTGCCCATCAGTCCTTATCACGCATGTGTGACATTGCACACATGTGCAACACTGCTGCCTGCTCTTGCACACCTGCCAGGTCAGCCATTGCTGCTGGCCTTCTGCTGCGGCCCTGCCTTTACTGACCTCCCTGGGTGAGTGAGGCTCTGCAAGCCCCCACACACTTGCCTTTTGCTGCTGCCACCGGTCACCTTTCCCCCCACTTGCCTTTTGCTGCCGCCGCCAGTTGCCTTTCCTCCACCACTTGCCTTCCGCCAAGGAAAACATGGAGAGGCTTGTATAGGATCCAGCCAGGTCAGCGGCTGCTTCTCTCACCTGTTGCACAGTGGAAAGCTTCCAAGTCACCCCCTTCCCATTAGAAATGGCTCTGGGGCAAGGAGAGAAACAAGCCAGGTTGAATCCTGCTTCTCTCTGCTTGCCCAGGAGCAGTTACTGATGGGGGAGGGGATTCAGAAGCTTTCTGCTGTTTTGGGAAACTTGCTCTCCCAAAAACAGCAGCAGGTGATAGAATAGAAACAGCTGCTAACCTGGCTCGAGCCTCCATCAGCCTCCACATGTTCCTTCCTGCTGCTGTTGACAGGAGGCAAGAATTTCCCAGTACAGGACTCTCCAGGGCTCCCCAGGCCTTGGAAACTGGCAAAAAAACATAGAAAACCTCAGTCACAAGACTGTGAGGGATGTTGTAACTGGTCATAAGTGTATGTGCGTGTGCTTGCGCATGTCTGTGTGTGCATCACTGTCAAAACACCAAAAACAGGTCAAGTAGCTCTGGGGAGGTCAGTCGTAAATTAGAACACTTTCTAAGCAACTGGCCATTAAGCGCGGACCACTTATATTTGGTTTGCCAGTCACATGGCCACCTGGCCACACTCACCCCAGTCACATGGCCACCTAGCCATGCCCACCCCAGTCACATGACCACCTAGCCACACCCGGTCAGCAAGTCACGCCCACCCAGTCACATGACCACCAAGCCACACCCACAAATTAGGCCACACCCACATAACTGGTTGTTAAGAAATTTGAATCCCACCCCTGCATCTTATCCTTGTGTTTTAAACAGGATACACATCATATAAGATTTACTTGTCACCTCTGTGTATTACAACTGAACATGTACATTCTAGATTGCCAGAAATGGGTAAAGAGGCAGATTGTTCCAATGTTAGATATAAGAATTAGGCCACATCTCTTTCACACATGCTTTCTGATTAGGCTCTGGAACTGGGATTTTATTGGCAACTTTTCTGTTTGATTTCTTTCCAGAAAACTATTATAGAGGTCTCAGAGGCTTATGGATACAAAACATACATCAGGCTTCTAAAGGTAATTGAACTGTTCTCTTTCAGTTTCAATCCATAAAACGAAACATAAGTGAAGTAGTTCTTGAGTTGAGCTTGACTACTGGTAATTTCATGGATACATTTGTGTAATTTTCCTGACAATATGGAAGTGGCTTGCTATTATCTTTTTCCAATTAGTATTATTATTTTTAATTCCCAAATCTACCTCAGAACCATGCAGTTTCCAGATAGCCTGACACCCAAATCTTAACCATCACTCACTTAGCTTTTTTAAGATTAGTCAATGTTGGCTATGTGCTGCCATCTAGTCAGGTTCAAATGAAAACCCATCTATCAAAAATACAAAATTATATCGTTTTAAAATGTGGTTCAATGTGCATTTCAGAAGTGGGATTTGAATTCTGATTAATTGGATAAAGGTTTTACTTTTAATAGAATTCAGCTCTGGAGAAAGAAAACATTATCTAGTTCCCTCACTGGCTACAGTGGAGATAATATAATCTCAGCTTATTTGGCCACTTAAGCAAACCCAGATAAATAGATATAAGGAAGACTTTTCACATGCTATCCTGGATCTGTTTCTCATTTAGCCTATTGTTAGTTAAGAGAGTCTGTAAATTCAACTGAAAAAAATAAAGTTGCCTCTCTTTTTCTCTTGGCACTTTTTTATTCTCAAAATGTAACTTAGACAGAAGGGAGACTTTTCTACCTTCATGTATTTCTTAGTAATTATTAGCAATGTATATTAGCATTCATTAACAGCTGGGCTAACTCCATGCTCTACATCCCAGACAACCATACTTAGAGCATTTTACATGTGACATTCTATTATTTCTTTATAATTCTTTCACCACTCTGCTCTTGTTCAGGAGTACATCCTTTCACAAGGTCTTCCTGATTAATTCAAATCTCCCAACAAGTATTTGTTCCTTGCAGAACTTGTTTTAGATCCATTATTGAAACATGGAACTTCATAGCTGATAATGTTCCTCCAAAAATCTTTCAAGACTCTAAACCTATCCTAAAAATGGGCAGAAAGTAGGCTGGAATCTATGGGTAGACATTTGGGTGATTTGCAATATATTAGAAAAGCTTCCAAATTCTAGAGTTTTAACCATACCAAAAGCAAAAAAAAATTGTTCTTGTTAGATCTGAGGTGGATCGGGTCGAAGGAGACACGAGACCATTCTAGTGAGTTCAGCTCTTTATTTAGAATAGGAATAGTCTGGGGGAATACAAGCCGCGGCAGCCCTTCATATAGGGCTGGCTCGCGGCTCAGTGGCCAATGGCAGCGCTTTGAATCTCCCGCGATCGGCACAGCCAATCGCGGTAGATCCTTAGCGCTCCAATCACGGCCGGGGTTTCGACCAATCAGGTCGCTGTCCGTCTGGACCAATCAGTTGCGAGGGTTTGGAGTATGCTAATACAGCGCACCCCTCCCCTCTTGGTTTCATCTGTCGGTGCGTCGTGACGTAGTCGCGCAGGTAGGCGGGGCTTCGTACCTGTCTAGTTGACCTGCGCAGATCAGTTCTCGTTTGGTTGTCGACTGGTTCGGAGGCCTTCTCTGTCGCTCTGGTTCCCAGGGATGGAACCGCCTGGAAGGTCGGGCTGGGCCTTTCTTGGTAGCTCCCTCCCGGTCTACCCGGGCTGGTTGAGCTGCCGTCTCTGTTGTTTCCGCTGGATCTTTCCGGGCTGGTTGTACTGGCCTGGCTGCTCCTTCCCGGTGACGATTCTGGGGTTGCCTGTTCGGTTGGTCCCGCGCTTACTGGTGAGTAGGACCAGTTTATTTGCGGGTTATTTGTTCCGGGTGGGGGTTGTTCGGCTTGCGCTAGGGGGTTCCCTCTTTCTTTAATGCTTTCTGTTTCCCCCCCCTTCTAGTTTCTTGTTCGGGTGTATGGTTGTTAGCTATTCTGGACCTTAGTTGGTTAATGTGCCGTTTCCAGTGTTTCCCGTCGCTTGTTTCTAGCCGGTATGATACGGGGCCGGTTATTTGGGTGATCGTTGCTGGTATCCAGAGTGGTTCCCCCGACAGGTTTTTTGCATATACGGCGTCACCTATGTTGAATTTTCTGTGCTTGCTGGAGGAACCCGGGGGTTTGTCAGGGGTGTATGTGGGGTGCATTCTATCTAGTGTTGATCGTAGTTTTCTGCCCATCATTAGTTCTGCCGGGCTTCTATTTGTGGTTGCGCTCGGTGTAATATGTTGGATGAGGAGCATTTTATTAATTTTATCTTGTATGTTGGTTGTTTCTATTTTCTGTATGGCTTTTTTTGTGTATTGGACCATGCGTTCCGCTCGTCCGTTCACCGCCGGGTTTGCCGGCGCGGTTAATGCATGGCGTATGCCCTGGCCTGCCAGAAATTGTTCAAACGCTAGTGCAGTGAACTGGGGCCCGTTGTCAGACACTATTATATCTGGCAGGCCGTGTGTGGCAAAGAGTTTGCCCAGTTTCCTTATTACCGCCTCCGTTGTGGTTGATTTCATGGTGCTTACCTCCAGCCAGTTGGAGTAAGCATCTACTGTGATGAGGTACATGTGCCCCTTGGTTGGCCCCGCGAAGTCTATGTGAATCCGAGACCACGGTCCTCTTGGTGTTTCCCATTCATGTATTGGGGCGGCGGGAGGACTGGGTCTGGACTCTTGGCATTGTTTGCATTTGGCTACCCAGGTTTCGATTTGTTTGTCCATGCCTGGCCACCATGCATAGCTTCTGGCCAGGCTTTTCATCTTAACCATCCCTGGGTGCCCCTCATGCAGCATCCCCAATACCCTTTCTTGTAATGTTTCTGGGATTACCACTCTGTCCCCCCAAAGTATACAGCCCTTCTCGGTAAAAAGTTCAGTTTGTCTGTTTCTGAAGGGTCTGAATAGTTCGTCCCTGTCCCCTTCCGGCCATCCTTTTCCAACCCAGCTTAGGACTCGCGCCAGCCGCTTGTCTTTATTTGTTTCTCTGGCAATGTCTGGCGCGGTCACTAGTGGGTTGGGTATTGTCTCTATTTGAAATACTCTGTCGTGGGTGCCGGGTCGTCTTCTAGGTCGGGCAAGGGTGAGCGGCTCAGGGCGTCTGCGTGGGTGATGTCCTTCCTGGGTCGGTGAATCACCTGGTAGTTGTATGCTGACAGGAACTCAGACCACCTTGTCATTCTTGGTGATAGAATGTTCGGTGTGGCCTTATTTCCTGCCAGGATCCCTAGCAGCGGCTTGTGGTCCGTAATGATTGTAAAAGTCCTACCGTAAAGGTATTCGTGGAATTTCTTGACGCCGGCGATGACTGCTAGGGCCTCCTTGTTGAGCTGACTGTAGTTCCGCTCCGGTTTTGAAAGTGTCCTTGATGAGAAAGCGATGGGTGCTTCCCTCCCGTCTGGTAGCTGGTGGCTGAGGATAGCGCCGATCCCAAAAGGCGATGCGTCGCACGTCACCGTCAATGGCAGAGTCTCGCTGTACTGGATTAGTATCCCTTCAGATGTTAGCAGTTTCTTTGTGTTGTTGAAAGCGCTCTCCTCCCATGCTCCCCAGGTCCAGGTGGCTGTTTTATCTAACAGCCTATGCAACGGTTCCGCCACGGTCGCCTTTTGAGGTAGGAAGACATTGTAAAAGTTTAACAGTCCCAAGAAAGCCTGCAGTTCTGTTTTGTTTTTGGGTCGTGGCGCTTCCCTTATGGCTCTCAGTTTCTTCTCCGTGGGGTGGATCCCTTGTTTGTCTAGGAGGTACCCTAGGAATTCGACCCTCTCAGCCCTTAGCTGGCACTTCCCTTTCTTGACTTTGAGCCCCGAGTCTCTGAATTTCTTCAGTACCTCCCTCAACCGGGCTTCTAGTTGCTTTTCGTTTCTCGCGGCCACTAAGACGTCGTCAAAATAGGGCACCACCCCCTCTATTCCCTGGAGGAGTCTTTCCATGAGGCTTTGGAAGACCCCGGGTGCCACGCTGACTCCAAACTGGAGCCGGTTGCAACGGAAAGCCCCCTGGTGCGTTATGATGGTTTGGGCTTCGGCGGTTGCGGCGTCGACCGGCAGTTGCTGGTAGGCTTGCGCCAGGTCGAGTTTGGCAAAGATCCGGCCTCCCCTCAGTGAGTGCAGAAGGTGCTGCACTACTGGGACGGGGTATGCGCTTTGCTGGAGCGCGTGGTTTAGGGTGGCCTTATAGTCCCCACAAATTCTCACGGACCCATCTGGCTTGATGGGGGTGACTATGGGGGGTCTCCCACCTGGCATGATCGATTGGCTCCAGTACCCCTTGCGCGATGAGCTTATCTAGCTGCTCATCGATCTTGGGCTTGAGTGCAAATGGCACTCGTCTGGGTTTAAGGCGGATTGGTGCAATGCTCGGGTCTATGTTAAAAGAAATAGGGGACCCCCGGTACTTGCCTAGGCTGTCGTCGAAAACTTCCCGGAAGTCCTCCACGAGCGCCGCTTCCCAGTCCGACTCTGCGGTGCGGTGGATTCCGGTTACTTCAATGCCTAGGGGTGCGAACCACTGTAGTCCCAATAGGCTCGGCCGATCCCGGTCGACGATGGTCAGGGGTAGCACTTCGGTGTGGTTCTTGAAGGTGACTTTAAAATGGCCTCTGTCAACTACAGGGATGCGGTTTCCCTGGTAGTCTTTGAGGGTTAGTGTTTGGTCTTCTAATTCTTTGCGGCGGATGGAGGGAACCAGGCGCTTGATGATGTGCCATGAGACCATGGAGAGGGAGGACCCAGAGTCCACCTCCATGTCGCATGGCTGGACTTCTATCCCCACCGTCACGTATACCTTTCTGGTGTCTCTTGTGGAGGACTGGCCGATGATGACGGTCTGGTGTGTTTCCTCCCTTTGCCTTGCCTCGTTGAGCCGCCTGTTCCGACCCTCTTGGCTCCAGTGGCTCTCCGTCTGGCGGTCTCGGTATCTGGTGGGGGTGTTCTCTTGCCTGCGAGGGCTGCCATCTCGTCGCCGCGGGCTGTAGTGTTTTTTATTTCTGCATACCTTGGCGATGTGCCCCCTTTTCTCGCACTGTCGGCAAATGGCATCGAGGAACCGGCAGTCCGAACGGGGGTGATCGCCTCCACAGCCAGCGCACTGGAACCTTGACTTACGACCTTGGGGTTCCCGTCGCCCTCGTGCTGCTTGCAAATGGTGGATTTCCTCCTCCTCGTCCTCGGTTCCTGAGAAGGAGTCGATGTTGCCGTGGTGTGTGGTTGCGTCCCGGTGGTCGATCTCGGGTCTCTTTTCGGGATTCGGTGTCGCCTCGCCGGTGGCTGCTCGTGGCGTGATGCTCGATTGCCGCATCCGAGCCGCTGATTTCTTGGCCGCTTCAGCCGCGGCTACCTCGGTGAGCGCATCGGCGAGGGAGATGTCGCCCTTCGCCATGATGCGGCTCTGGAGAATGGGGTCTCGGAGTCCCAGGACGACGCGGTCTCGCAGGGCCTCGTCCAGGTCGGCGAATTCGCACAGGCCGCCCAAATCTCATAGTGCCACTATGAAGTCGCCAAGCCCCTCGCCCTCGCGCTGGTCCCGCCTGTAGAATTCGTGCCACCGGATGAGGATGGGCACGACGGGGGCGTAGTGGCTTCGTAGCAGGGGCTCGAGGTCGCCCCACTCCATGGTCTTGACGTCCTCCGGCTTGGCCAAGGCTTTGGCCATCTTAAACACTGCCGGCCCGCAGTGTGCGAGGAATACGGCCCGTTTCTTGTGACCGTTGGCATCTTTAAGATTGCTACACTCGAGGAACATCTGGAACCTATCGGTATAGGATTCCCAGTCCTCGGTAGCAGGATTGAAGGGTGCGGGTGGCGAGTTGATGCCAGCCATTCTGCTTGCTGTTGTGTGCCGCCTCGCCACGTGCTGGGTGGTCTCTTTGTCTCATGATCCCACCTTCGTCGCCAGTGTTAGGTCTGAGGTGGATCGGGTCGAAGGAGACACGAGACCATTCTAGTGAGTTCAGCTCTTTAATTAGAATAGGAATAGTCTGGGGGAATACAAGCCGCGGCAGCCCTTCATATAGGGCTGGCTCGTGGCTCAGCGGCCAATGCCAGCGCTTTGAATCTCCCGCGATCGGCACAGCCAATCGCGGTAGATCCTTAGCGCTCCAATCACGGCCGGGGTTTCGACCAATCAGGTCGCTGTCCGTCTGGACCAATCAGTTGCGAGGGTTTGGAGTATGCTAATACAGCACAGTTCTCATGAGAAAAAACTATTTTTGGAAATTCTGGCTTCTTTAAATCAAATGGGTATAGATGTGTGTAATTTTCTTCAAACGCTCCTTTCACCTTTAAGTTTTGAGGAAAGTAGGCAGTTTTGTAAGACATCAGGCATCTATTTAGCCATTTATCACTCATCCCACCCTCCCCTAAAACCCTCCAAAAATAATTAACCCAACTTCCAGACTTGTGGATTACAGCTCCCCTATCTCTTCAAAACGGGTGTTGGGGAGAAGGAGGGTTGACCAGCTGACAGTAAGTTGTAAATTCTCTTAGATTAGTGATATCATGCTATTTTACTGTTCTGTGTCTCTTTGCAGGAAGAAGGACTTCTTAATCTGGTCAATAATACCTTACATCAGCCATTTACCATGCTGTGGCCAACTGATGGAGCCTTTAATTCTCTCCCTGCTGAAATGCAAAAATGGTTATATCATAAAGACCACAGGAGCAAATTGTCTGCTTATCTCAGAGGGCACATGGTCCGGGACACAAAGGTAAACCCAAGGTTGAAACAACAGAAACTTTTAAAAGAAGCCCTGCTGGACCCTAACTTGGCAGAAAACACATCTCCTTTTCATGTCATTTAGACCTGAGTAAAAACTGGTTTTGATTTAATAAGTAAACTGATTAACCAACATTCTATTATTTGATAATTATTTAACCAGTGCAAGATAGATGAGGTAGTACTCAAAGTGGTGTGAGATTCTTTATCCAAATGCTGATTCGCTCATGGTGCTTCATATGGATGATGCATTTATCATACCATGGATCCACAAGGAAATTTACTCTCTGCAAGATCAGTGGCTGAAGTCTTTGGCAGCCTTAAGTGAGACCCATTCCTATTTAACTTTCTTGAACAGTTAATTACCTAACTGATTCACTGCCAGAAACATTTACTGTCAGAAATAGAGTTTATAATAACAGAACACAGAGAAGAAAGGCAAATGAGGAAATGAGTTTTCATTCTTTTGATGAAAATGAAACCTTCCCCAATTCCTGTTTATATGGCAATGAATGAAACATAACACACAATCTCTTGAGGTCTATTTTGGCCTGCTTGTATCTGTGGCAAATCAATCATTATTTACTCTTTTCTGGTTCTAGGTCTTGGCTTCCCAACTGATAGAATTCTCATCTTTGAGGACTTTGCAAGGTTCAACGATTTCATTTAGCTGCAGCAAAACAAATGCTGTAAGTAAGCACTCCTTTAAATTGAAGCCACAAGAGGACAAACTCATGTTCAATATTGTCCCATTCAAAATGTACAGGTAGTCCTCACTTATTGACTGCCTTGGCCTTGCAATTACAAAGGTGATTAAAAAGTAAAAGTCAGTCAGTATGTGTTCTCCTGTGCCTGACTTGTTATTTTTTTTTCTTTCTCCTCTAACAAAGAAAAGAGATTGCTTCAATAAGCTTTTCTTTGCCTCTTATGCAAACTTCTTTTGCAAACAGCTGGTGCTAGTGCATTCTTTTCAATGTATATTCCCTATCGGGCATCTGCTTACTCTCTTGTAATCCCTTCCTCTCCATGTAATGCATATACAAACATTAATTCCCTTCTTCTAATTATCCCAACCCTGGGTGAACATTCCAAGCAATGAAAGAATGGAGAAATAGGACTATAAGATTGCCCTTCATTAGTCTAATTCCAGAAATTTCCCCCCTACGTTTTGGCTCATACAATTGTGTGGAGCCATATCCTTCTGCTGCTGTAAAGCAAAGGAAATTTGAACTAAAATCATAAGCATATTGCCACATGATTTCAGGACTGATTTCCTGTCTGTGGGCAAAGTTTGTGCACAATACTGCATTCTAAACACCACAGCATCATAATCATAATGTCATAATCATAATATCCTAAGTAGGTTTATAAGTTAGGCTAGGGTGTAGATACAGAATGTAGCAGCTGCAAGTATTAAGGGTCATGGGCAGTGAAAAAATGAAGAAGAGGCATGGGCCAAGAAAGAGTAGCTAGGAAAAAACGGAGAAGGGCACATTATTTTATACCCTTATTATAATAACGAGTACATTATTTTAGGAGAAGATGGAACAAGCTAGGGAAATTGAACAAAAATCAGAGTATCTGTGAGACAGAAAACAAAGAAAGGGTGCTGATTCTTTGAACCACACTTATCTACATCTCCTGGTAAAATTAATTAGAAAATCACATTGTGGGAAATTGCACTTAAGGTTAGGTTGAGCTCACCATAAATTCGGAGAGCAAAATGGACATTGCCAATGAATTTGAAGTACTTGGTTTTGATTAGGAGGGTGCTGATTGTTTGAGCCACTCTTAATGCTACAACTGCGATGTTTTTTTCAGACTGGTAAATTTGATTAGATTTAGTGTGTGTAGATTTTGTACCTCGTTGATAAAGTGTTTTTTTCTTCATCTACTATAATGCTTCTGATCTGAGGCAAAAAAGTGATAATTTTTTTCAGGAAGCAACAGGTGATAAGGTTTTTCCATATTAGTCAAAATGAAAAGCTGCCAATTCTGGCTCCTGATTCCCTTTTACTGCTTTTTTGATTTGCAGGGTGATATTGTTGTAGACAATGGCAATGCAAGGATTGTCCAGCGGTATATGGAATTCAATGTGGGCATTGCTTATGGAATTGATCACCTTCTTGAGCTTCCTAATTTGGGATCCCATTGTGATCAGTTTCAAATGGTTGAGATTCCGGTGAGTACTTGAAATTTAATTATCAATGTTTACTGATTTAGATAATTACCGTGTTCACCATAAAGTAAGACCCAGAAACATGATTTCAGAGTGATCAGCCTGCCTTGGCGCCCCACCGCTCCAGCGTGTGCACAAGAGCAGCAAGCATGTGGGGACTGAAAGCATCTGCCAGCAGCTTCAGCCCTTGGGTCCTTGGGTCGGCGCACTCTGGGGTTATGCAGAACAGAGGGCACAGAGCAGAAGGCGGGTGATCCCAATGCACTGCACAGGCTGCAGACATGCCAAGAGATGCGAAGATGAGCCTCCCGTGGTCACCTGCTGCTCTGGCCCACTGACGCTTGGCTTTTCCATGGCATATGTGGCACATGTGGATTGCCTGACTCCCCCCCAGACCACTGTCTGCTGCCAGTGCCACCACACAAAAATGAGCCTTCCACAGCCACCCAACGCTATGGCCCAGCAACGCTCTGCTTTCCCGTTGCCCGCATGGCACATCCAGATCACATGCCTCTGCTTCCGCCTGCTGCTTGCACAGGTAATCAACCCACCTGTGCTGGGTGGCCTCCAGCTGCTGCCAGACATCATTGTTCCGTACGCACTCACCACCTCCTATGCTGGCCACACTCACCTCCTTCTCTAGGGCTTATTTTTTGGGTAGGGCTTATTTTGGGGAAAACACGGTATCTTCATTTGGTTGATTTAATATCATTAAAGCATTCTCTAGTTCTGGGGTCCCCAACCCTTGGTCTGTGGCCTGGTACCAGTCCGCAACATGCCAGCAACTGGTCCACACAAACAAGCAAAGCTCCATCCATGGGATGCAACCAGCATGCAAAACCATACCACCTTTAGTCCATGGAAAAACCTTTCTCTACGGAACCGGTCCTTGGTGCCCAAAAAGTTGGGCCTGCTGCTCCAGATTAAAAAAAGACTTTTGGTTAACTTTCTTACACTAATGTTGACAGTGGCAACCAGCACTCCATGCTTTTTTGTAGAAATTACTTTCCAATTATAAGTCACCTTATCAGGGATATGAGCAGCATATAAATTTAATAATATTTATTTATTTTATTTATTTTGATTTGTCAATTGCTTACAAGATAATAGGTATAAGTATATACATAGTTATGAATACATGAAATGGGTACATATAAGAAAAATAAAAGAAATAATAGGACAGGGACGGTAGGCACGTTGGTGCGCTTATGCACTCCCCCTACAGACCTCTTAGGAAAGGGGTGAGGTCAATAGTAGACAGTAGTCTAAGGTTAAAGTTTTTGGGGTTTGGGGAAAGGTAGAGTATTCCAGACATTGACCACTGTTGCTGAAGTCGTATTTCCTGCAATCAAGTTTGGTGCAGTTAACCTTGAGTTTGTATCTATTGTGTGCTCTTGCATTGTTATGGTTGAAGCTGAAGTATTCATTGACAGGTAAGTCATTGCAATGTATGATTTTATATACCGTACTTAGATCAGACCGAAGACTGCATAATTCAAGGTTTTCTAGGTCTAGAATTTCGAGTCTGGTGCCATAAGGTATTTTACAACGAGTAGAGGAGTGGAGAACTCTTCTTGTGAAATATTTCTGGACTTTCTCAACTGTGCTAATATCAGATACATAATGTGGGTTCCAGACTGATGAACTGTATTTGAGTATTGGTCTAGCAAATGTTTTGTATGCTCTAGTTAGTAGTGTGATATTACCAGAGAAAAAGCTATGTAGGATTAGGTTAACAACTCTTAATGCCTTTTTGGCTATGTACTTACAGTGGGCTCTAGCACTTAGATCATTAGAGATGAGTGTTCCAAGGTCCTTTACAGAGCTTGGATCATCAACAAGGTCTTGACTATTCAGCTTGTATTTTATTTTCAGATTTTTTTTTGCCAATATGTAAGACAGAGCATTTATTTGTTGAGATTTGAAGTTGCTATTTGTTTGACCATTCTGATACATAGTCAAGATCTTTTTGAAGGGTAGCAGTATTGTCTGTGGTATTGAACAGCTTTACATCATCAGCGAAGAGAACGCAGTTGCTCTTCATATGATCACAGAGGTCATTTATGTAGAGTATGAAGAGAGTTGGTTCTAGAACACTGCCTTGGGGGACACCACTGTTGACAGGTACAGAATTTGATAGGACACTCCCAATTTTGACCATTTGTTGTCTATTTGACAGGAATGCTTCTATCCAGTTATGCAGTTGTCCAGAGATACCATAAGATTTTAGTTTTAGGAGTAGTTTGTCGTGTACCACTGAATCCAAGGCTTTACAGAAGTCTATGTAGATTGCGTCTATTACTTTCCCCTGATCGAGTTGTGTAACCCATATGTTTTTGCAGTGTAAGAGTTGCAGATTACATTATAGTTTTTTCCTAAAACCAAATTATTTATTAGAGAGTAGGTTGTTTGTTTCTAAGTGGAGGATGACGGATTGGTTAATAATTGATTCCATGACTTTACAGGTGACGCAGCATAAGGAGATTGGTCTGTAATTTTCAACTAGGCTGGGGTCTCCCTTTTTGAAGATGGGGATGACCGTGGCTTGTGACCATAGGTTAGGCAAGGAGCTGGTCCTGAAAGATTTTTCAAAGATTATGCTTAGAGGTTCTGCTATGGCAGTGGATAGCTTTTTTAAGAAGTAGGCACATATTCCATCCGGTCCAATAGATAGAGATGGTTTTAGATTGCGTAGTGCTTTTTCAACACTGTCTTCTGTAAAATCAATATGTATTAGATCATTGTAGTTTTCTGTGGTTCGGCTAGGAAATATTGGGCATGATCCATTGCTGTTTACAAATACTGAGCCAAAGAATGTGTTAAAGATGTTGGCTTTAATGGTGTCATCATTGCAGTCTTTACCATTAGGTCCTATCAGGGGTGGGATGGACCTTGAATCTTTTAGTTTGTTGTTTACAAAATTGTAGAAAGCGTGGGTGGAATTGGTGCGTAGAAGGTTTTCCTCTTGTTTAATGTGGTAATTGGTGCATTCAGTCTTTATCTGGTGGCGTAAATTTTTGTATCGGCTTTTGAAGTTGGCAACGTGACCAGATTTGTTTTTCCGCCAGAGTGATCTCTTTTTGGATTGAAGTTTCCTTATTGTTATGGGTAATCTGTTTTGTTTGTTTGTTTTTTGTTTTGGGAGCTGTTATTGGTACATATAGTTTGATGACTCTTTTGACTTCAAGTAAAAATATGTTGTAATGGTCTTCAACAGTATTGCATCCAGTGAATAGAGATTGCCAATCAAGGGATGAGAGATCGTTGTTTATAAGATCATAGTTGCCTTTTTTGAAGTTATAATTGGGGATTATGTTATTGTGATGATTTTTGTGTGGGCATATGTTGAAACAAAAGTCAATCATATTGTGGTCACTGTTGGAAAAGGGTTCTTTAGTTTGTATTCCATAAATTAAATTCAAACTATTGCAGAAGATGAGATCAAGGCAGTTGTTAAGTCTAGTATTGTTGGTTACTAGTTGTTCCAGTCCCAGATTTGTAACAGCATAGTAGAAGGTTACATGTATTCAGTTGGGTTCAGTTGTACATTCGTTTAGGGTCTAATTAATATGAGGTAGATTGAAGTCACCAAGAAAGATAAAAGCATGTGGGCAGGATGTTGCCCATGTTACTAGTGAATTTAGCTTGTTTATATGTTCGATGTCATCATCAGTATGACAGTTGTTCTTTAAAAAGTCTTCAAAAACACTTCTGTTTCTATTAAACTACATTTTTAAAAAATCCCTCTCACCATCATGGCAATTTAACTTAAGGTGAGATAGTATAATCTGTATGTAGTCTACTTGTTTTGCAAGTTTTAAATTATAAAACACAACTAAATACATGATAAAAATACCCCAAACCATCTCATGTCTGCTATTAGGTTGCAGCCTTTGTGAGAAAGGAAAATCTAACAGATTTTCAGAAGAAAGTTAAAATGGCTTCTTACATACTTGTCTATTTTTCCTGCTTTCCTATTATATCTTCCCAGGATGCTACATGTGGTACTTGTGGCTATGAGAAATCCTGTCCTTTTGGATCAATGGAAACGGTAAGCATCCCCAGAGAAATGATGGGTTCACAATTGACAAGAAGTGGATAATAAGCAATTCTATGGTTATTTACAAGACATTTTACAATCAAGCGTTTGAGAGGCACAACATATGCCCCTAATCCCAAGTGAAAAGGTACATACAGTGGATATAGAAAGTCTACACACCCCTATTAAAACTTCCGGTACTGTATTTGATCAGACCAGGATAAAATAGATAGAATAACTTTATTGTCACTTTGAATATACACTAATCAGCATACATTAAAATGGAATTTCATTGTATATAGCTTTCAAAGGGTCACTACCTCCAATATACACTACATAAACATGACTAAATAAATAAATACAGACCATAAAATGCATATTAGCTTTAGAGGAAGAAAATTAGAAAAAAAAATCCCAGCCTCTGTCTCCCAGCATCCATCCGGTATTCATCTGGCTAGCATCCTTGCAGCAAATAGCAAACAGCCTGGTTAGCCTCAGCACGTTATCACAGCCCAGGACATGGCTTGTCAGGGCTCCACTCCATTGCGCCTACCACCAGTCAACTGAACTAAACTGCTGCCACTTCTGGGGAATGCTGGAGCGTTCACTGCCAAGCAGCTGATAGGTGGTTGGATTGGCCTCCCAGAATAATGCCAATCAGCTGTTCTAAGTGGCAGGGATCGCCACCACCTATTATCACTGCTGCCTATCACTGCTGATTGCTGCTGCCGCCATTTGCTATCAGTCACCACCTATTGCTACCTATTGCCATCGATAATTGCCGGTGGCGAATAATGGCAAATAGTGGCAATGATAGGCATTGGCGATAGGTGGTGGCAGCAATAGGCAGCAGTGGGGATAGGCAGCGGTGGTGATAGGCGGTGGTGATGCTCCCCACTGCATAGACCAGCTGATCAGCAGTGTTCTGGGAGGCCAATTGGTGATTGGCGGCAGCGGCAATTGGCAATAGGTGGCAGCGGTGATTCCTGCCACCTACAACAGCTGATTGGCGGAATTCCGGGTGACTGATTGGCAGCAATTGGTGGCTATTGGTGGCAAACGGTAATCGGCGAATGGCGGTGGCAGTAGGCGGCAATTGGCAGCGTGAATCCCTGCCGCTTAGAACAGCTGATTGGTGGTATTCCAGGAGGCTAATCCAACTGCCAATCAGCTGCTTGGCAGCAAAGGCTCTAGCATTCTCCAGAGGCGGTGAATGGCAGCACTGCACCAACCCCCTCCCTGTGTATAGATGCACAGACATTTCCACCCACTTTTTTGGGGGGGAGTGCAACTTATAGTGCAAAAAATATGGTATATGACACAGAGAAACAACACAGTCTAGTCTAGATGTATACATATACATGGTGAGAAAAACAACTCTTGCAAGTTTACCAGAAGGATGGCATCGGGAACAAAGCTGTTACAGAATCTGGAGGTCCTGCTAGAAATACTTCAAAACCTCCTCCCAGAGGGGAGCAACAGAAACAGACCCTAAAGTGGGTGTGTGGGGTCTCTAACAATGTTTTGAGCTCTAAGCACGTAGCACTTATAAGCAGTATCCTGAAAAACAGGAAGCTTCCTATAATCTTCTCTGCTGCCCTTACCACTCTCTGTATGGATCTTCTATCTAAGGCACTGCTGCCATCACTCTCAGGCCTCAGACAGATTTAGATTTCTAATTACTTAACACGTAAATAGGAGGAAGTTCCCACATACCTTGCAAGTTGAACATATAGTTTCATCCTAAGAATCAAATTTCCAACAAAAGGCAAAAACAGTTTTCTTTTTCCAATAGGGGGAAATCCAGACTTGCTATTATGAATATGACCCTTTTGAGTTTTCAAGGAGACACCATTGGCAGCAATACCCGAGAGTGCCATTCGCTCAAAACCGACGGAGAAAACCTTCCAGAAAGGGATGCAAGAAAACATGCCTTACCACCAAGTGGGTACCCCAATGTTGTGCAAACCACTATGGAAAGAACTGCCAGGGTAAGGAATATTTATTAAAATTCCAGGCAAAATAACATGTTTTTGGTTCCTTACTTGGTAATGATAATGGGAACAGTAGTTGCTAACATTAAAACAATTTGTTTTACCATCTATGGGCTAAAATGTCCTTGTTAGGTTTCACATCCTATAATTGTTTCTAAAGTTCCTTTCAAGATGCTTAGTTTTCTATGTACTGCTGTTGACCAATATCAGAGCATATCTTAATATTCATGCACTTAATAATTTCTTTTGTATCTTGATTGACTTTCATTTTTCCTCCTCCTTGCCAAAAATATCATTTATCTT